GCTTGGTCACCGGACAGTGGTCCAGGAGCCGGAGCCCACGGAGACCGAGCCCGAGGGTGAGAAGGCTGGGGCTGGGTGTTTGTGGTGTGTGGGGATGGGTCGGTGCTGGCCCCACAGGGACGAGCCCCCAGAGGCTGGTGTGGGGCCTGGAGCAACGACTGGGCGCAGAGCACCCAGCGGGTGGACTGCGGTCGGGGAGACGCCCCGGGGAGGGCTCCTTCGTGGCTGCGGCTTTTCTGGGAGGCCCTGGGTGGGTTCTGTCTCCACAGAGAGCGGGCACGGGGTGAGCTTTTCTCCTCTCACAGCTGCTCCACCACCTGAGGAGCTAGAGCCCGTTCCAACTCCATCGGTAGCTCTGGACGGAGGGGTGGTGGCTGCGACTTCAGCAGGAGACCAGGAGCCGGCAGGTGACCCGGCACCCACCCACGGACAGCCTGACGTGGACCAGGAAGAACTGGCACCTGCCCCTGACCCAGCTCCTGCCGTGGATCCTGCACCTGACCCAGCTCCTGCCCTGGATCCTGCACCTGCCACTGCTCCAACCCAGCTCCTGCCCCTCCTCCTACCCCTTCCCCTGCCCCTGCCAGAGCCACTGCCCCTTCCCCTGCCCCTGCCCCTGCCTGAGCTCCTGTTCCTGCTCCTTTTCCTGCTCCTGCTTCTGCCCCTTCCCCTGCCAGTCCTGCTGCCCCTGCCCCTGCCTGAGCTCCTGTTCCTGCTCCTTCTCCTGCTCCTGTCCCTGCCCCTGCCAGACTCGCTGCCCCTTCCCCTGCCCCTTCCTGGGCTCCTGTTCTTGTACCTGACCCTGCTCCTGCTCATAACCCTACCCCTGCCAGACCTGCTGCCCCTTCCCCTGCCCCTGCCTGAGTTCCTGTTCCTGCTCCTTTTCCTGCTCCTGCTTCTGCCCCTGCCCCTGCCAGACCTGCTGCCCCTGCCCCTGCCTGAGCTCCTGTTCCTGCTCCTTTTCCTGTTCCCATTTCTGCCCCTTCCCCTGCCAGACCCACTGCCCGTTCCCCTGCCCCTGCCTGAGTTCCTGTTCCTGATCCTTTTCCTGCTCCTGCTTCTGCCCCTTCCCCTGTCAGACCTGCTGCCCCTGCCCCTGCCCCTGCCTGAGCTCCTGTTCCTGCTCCTTCTGCCACTGCCCCTGCCCCTGCGCCTGCCGGAGCTTCTGTTCCTGCTCCTTACCCAGGTCCTGCCCTAGATCCTGCACCTGCCACGACTGCTGATCCTATCCCTCCCCTTGCCCCTGCCCCTGGCCCTGCTCTTACACCTGGCCCTGCCCCTGGCCCTGCCCCTATCCCAACCCCTGCCCCTACTCCTGCTCCCGCAGGGCTCCCAAAGCCACATCCAGAGCCCACAGCCCTGCGGGGAGAGCTCCTTGTACAATTGCCCTTAGTTCCATCGCCAGACCCCGACGCCCCGCCAGATTGTTTCACCCCCTCCCCCTATATTCTTTCTCTCTGGTTCATATTGTTCTGGTTCATATTGTTCATTTTCATGTTCTGTATACTGTTTATTATTTGTTTTAAATAAAATTACTTGTTTTCAACTGAACATGTGATGAGCATAAGTACATTCCCAACGCTGTGCCACCACACCCCAGAACATTGCTGCGGAATATCTCGTGTCCCAAAGGAGTCCCCGAACCAGAAGCCCCCCTGCCCATTTCTCCCCCAGCCCAGACCCTGGAAACCCCTAAGCTGCTTTCTCTCCCTATTCTTTTACTTGTTCTGGATGTTTCTGTACGTGGAATCATGCAATAGGAGCCTTTGTGTCTGCCCACCTATTTTCAAAGGGGACTCGTTTTCTTCTGTTTATTTGTCATAAAATTTCCCTTATTCGATATTGAAATCCCCGATTGATGACAGATCAGATGTAATCAGAGAGGCCACTTTAGGAATTATGGGCACAGGGACGCCTGGGTGGCTCAGTCGTTAAGCGTCTGCCTTCGGCTCAGGTAATGATCTCAGGGCCCTGGGATCGAGCCCCGCATCGGGCTCCCTGCTCCGTGGGAAGCCTGCTTCTCCCTCTCCCACTCCCCGTGCTTGTGTTCCCTCTCTCTCTGTGTCTCTCTCTGTCAAATAAATAAATAAAATCTTTTTTAAAAAAAGGAATTATGGGCACAATCTCGGGGCGGAGACCCCTGTTCCTGCTGGGACACCACAGCCTGACCCCAGACAGGAAATGGCTGGTTACTCCTGTGGCCCACACAGAAACCAGGGAAATGAAGAAAGCTGGAAGACACACCACAAAGCAAGGCCAGAGAAAGGTTTCACCTGACTCTGGTCCAAACCACGCTCTGAGTCCCACCCAGGAAGGCACGTTCATACCAAGAGGAGCTGACACGCACCCGGATACAGACCTTTCTTTTCCCTTGACTGGGGGGTTGGCCAAGGTGGAGAGCGGTTTGTGGACCTCCGTGGTGTTGCTCACAATGACCACTGCCCTTTTTGAGCAAATACCATGGGCCAGGAGGGTGCGGTTGCTTGACCGACCTCCAGTGGTTCGGCTTCACTTACAGAGAGGGAGGGCCTGAGGCTCAGAGCACAAGAACTCAAACCCCAAAGCTCCCCTAGCTCCAGAATAGGCCTCAGTGCCAGCTGCAGCCCCTAAGCAGACCCTGAAGGCTCAGGGTCCCACCAGTGAGGGGCTGGGGGGGGGGGGCGATGAGGGGCCTCACCCAGAGTCTCCCAACAAACGGCAGCTGAGAGTCCGGCCAAGGCAGGCGGTGGGACTGCCGCTGGCTCCTGCCAGGCTCCTGGCAGCATGAGCGATGGCAGGCTGAGCGATAAGAAACTAATAATTTATGTTTCCAGCTCCCGCGGCCCGGCGCCAAGGGAAGGCTGGGCCACAGCCTCCTCCTCACACTGAGCGGCCAAAACCCTTTATTGCACAAATTATTAACGACCAAAGAATGAATGACTGTGTAATCAGATCAGGGCTGCCAGCACTTCTCATTTCGTTTATTTGTATAAATTCTGAAGCCAGGGTCTACCTGAGCTCAGAAAGTCAGTCTCATGCTAGACGGGTGTGCAGGGCCCCACCTAAACAGAGCACACCCCTCTCTCACCCTCACCCAGGACTCCACGGGGTGCTGAAGACAGAGGGTGTCGAGGAGGGGGACAGGGAGGTCGGTCTGACTGAGCTGGGCCCCGGGGCCAGGGTCGGAACTCTGTCCTTCAGCCTGCCTCAGGGCCATCTCCTACCCGTTCTCAGGGCCAGGGGTAGCCCAGGGCTTGGTGGCGAGAGAAAGCTCCCCTGTCCCTGCATGAAAGCCTCTGATCCCTACCTGTCTTTACCCTTCTTCCCCAGGGCCTGCTTTGTCACACTGATGGTCCAGGCCAGCAGCAGCCCCAGGCTCCGTGCCCCACTCTGTCCGCTTCTCCTGCCTGGCCTCCCATCCTCTTTCCCCTTCTCAGGCTGATCTCTCCCCTGCCCTCCCTTTTCCTGTCCTGCTGCTGGGCTGTGCTGTCCTCCCTTGGGTGCAGGGACTCAGGCCATGAGGTTCCTGTGGCAGCGCGGAGGACTGAGCTGCCTATGGCCCTCTCACAAGCCCACTTTTAATCCCACTGACCTCTCGTTATACTACAGAGCATAAATTCAGATTTGGAGAGCTTATGTCCCATCATAAATTGGGCTGGCAGACTTCCGATCAACAAGATAAAGCTGTCTCCTGGGAGGTGGGTGTTTTATTAGTCTTGGCCTCAGTGCTGCAGGCACTGGGACTGGGGGAGCGGGGTGAGTCCTCTGCTCTGGAACCCTCCCGTGCAGTTCAGAGCAGCCTGATGGTGCCCAGGGATCTGAGTGCTTCCTATCACATGGGCAGGCACCAGGAACCTAGTCATCCCCTGGACCTGGGCTGTAAATGCCCTTAGACCCCCATCCCCACATCACCAATCTGAGTGGCCACTACTCAATCCCTAGGCTGGGCACTCGAGGGTCAAGACAGAGGCTCGGTGTGCACCCAGGCATGTGCATGTCTGTGCCCCACCCTCCCTGGTAGACCTTTGAGAACCTGGCCAGAGCCAGAGAAGGGTTGGGGTATGGGGGGAGCAGCTGGACCTGCCTGGAAACCCTGGGGGCAAAATGGCTGGAGGAGGGGGGCCCAGAAAGAGGGAAGTCAAACCCCCAGCTCCAGAGATGTGATGGCCTGGTCCAGCTTTACTTGCAGGTGTAGACACAGGCAGAGTCCCTACAGGCAGAGATGGGGAGGTCTTGGCAACTAGGGCCACTCTGGGCCTGGGCTCCTGCCACTCACCCAGAACTGGGAGTGATGTCTGCTGGCCTTGCCTGCCCCTCCCTAGAGGTCAGGTCTTTCTTCAAAATCTCAGTCTCTGTCAACACCACCTCCCTCTGCCACTGCCACTTCCAGCTCAGCTTCCGTACCAGCCTGCCAGAATCACTTCTCAGTGAAGTCACCCAAATCAGCATCCCCAGGGGGGCTCCACTTGGCCCTTCTGAGCACCCTCGTCTGCCCAGGGCCTCAGCAACACAGTAAGAAACCTGTGGGTCCAGGGTATGTGCTGGTGTTCTGGGGTGTAGGACACCCTGACAGGAAAGGAAGGCAATCCAGGGAGGCTTCTTGGAGGAGGGGTTGCTGCTGTAAGTCTTGAAGATAAGCAGGTGGGAGAGGGCCAACATCACCACCAGGCACAGAGAGCATAGAACCTGGATCCCTGGTGCCTTTAGAGACGACAAAGACATTTTACTTTGATTTCCCTTAAAACCAGAAGGAAAAAAAATAATATAATAATAATGAAGATTAAATAATATATCTATCATGGATTATATTTGTCTTTATATCAATAGGGTTATAAAATATAATTTAAAATTTTTCAATGGAGGAAAGGACTCCCAAATGCAGAAGTTGCTACACAAGTGGTAACGGGGCCACAGAATAGTGATATTAGGGAGTGACGCTCCTGGGCAAAGGCAACAACTCAGCCATGCTCAGACACTGAAGAAGACAGGGAAACAGGAAGTTGAGCCCACGGGCGGAGGCAAGGCCTGGAGGCCAAGGGTCCCAGACTGTTCCCAAAGGAGCCCCTGGAGAGCAAGTTGGCCAGATGTGCCCATCAGGTACTGGATGAGTGGGGGCAGAGTCTGGGAGTATCACAGAAATATCATAGGTGAGAGGGGCCAGACTAGGTATTTGAAGGAAAGGGATCTAGAAGGGAGCACATATGAGGTTTGCTGATTGGCTAATGGGGAGGAGTATGGTGCCTGCTCTCTGAGGGACTGCGAGCGAGATGGGGATGACAGCATGGCGGTAGGAAAAAGACTCAGGGGGCTGTGGGGTGGATGCACAGGGCAGGCTATTATATTATTTTCTTCCTTCTGGTTTTAAGGGAAATTAAAGTAAAATGTCTTTGTCGTCTCTAAAAGCACCAGGGATCCAGGTTCTATGCTCTCTGTGCCTGGTGGTGATGTTGGCCCTGCTCCCACCTGCTTATCTTGAGTGTCTGGACTGAAGCTAGAGACTCAGGTTCATAGTCTGTAAAGGAAACCACAGAAGTCTTATGAAAGAGAAGAGTGCCTAGTGTAGAACCCACCCACTTACCCAGTCACCCATCATCCACTCATTCACGCATCAGTCCATCCCCCCACTCATCTACCCCTCAACCCAGCCTATGTTTGAGGGGTGGGTGAGGCAGGAATGAGAGGCGAGGCTGATCTGAGGGGATGGTCTCAGGGCATGTGCCCATGAGTGAAGCCCATCTAATACATAGCAAGGCGTCAACTAGAAGCACTAAGAAAAATCCCAATGTATTGAGGCCAAAATCACGCTATCAAGCAGAAGCTGACAATTCGCTGAGGACCATGTTCCTGGATGGAAGATGGGATAACCCAGCAGGAGTTCTGGCTTTGCCCCTCACCAGTCATGAATCACCCTGTCACGTCTCTGAGGCCCCGGGAGCTCAGGAGCCCACATATACCTGCTGGACCTTAGACACACAGTTACTCAACTGCCGACATGTGGCAGACTCATATTTTGGCAAGGCCACCCAGTCTGGAAGAATGGTCTGTCTGTTCTCCTGGGAGGGGTCTATAGCACGCTGACCTCTGTTAGCATCTGCATGTACACAGAGCATCAAAGGTCAGGATCCTTTGTCCTGAGCAGGGCATGAGGACTCCACATTTGGGGATGCCCATATTCCTCTATGCAGAGGTAAAACCCCCTCAGACCAGCCCCAGTCCCTCCGGTTGCCTCTTCTGCTCCCACTTCCCCCAGGCCCCCAAGCAGCCTAGCCAGTCTGCAGGTGGGAAGGCCCCCAAGGCCAACCTGGGACTATTAAATGCCCTGGAGAAAGTGCCAGGTTGTGGCCTTGGACAGAGCCCTGGAATCGCTGCCCCTCCCCTGCCGGAGGTAGGTGTGGGTCTGGCCTCTGCCGATGGGCTCTGCTCAGGGTCTCAGCCCATACCAGACTGTGCTCTTCAGCCTGCCCACTTCTGAGACTGCACCTGGGGCACTGTGCATAACTTCACACGGTTGGGCATCACAGAGTTCCTGTTCTCATGGCACAGTGTGCGGGGCCACTCCGCGCAGAAGGTGAGTTGACCCCATGGAGGACTTAGTGGGTTGCAGTAATAAAGGAACCCTCACACCCAGGGGTGCCTGGGTGGCTCAGTTGGTTGAGTGTCTGACTCTTGGTTTCGGCTCAGGTGGGTCTCAGGGTCATGAGATTGGGCACCCGCATTGTGCTCCCCACTCAGCATGGAGTCTGCTTCCCCTCTCCCTCTCTGTCTGTCCCTCCCCCCACCAAATAAGTAAATCTTTAAAAATAATAAAAATAAAGGAAACTCACACCCAGACAGGCACTCACAGATGTCAGTGCATTCGGGGCACCCCACAGGGATGTGACCAACTCAACCAGCCCTTGGAGGAATGGGCCCACTGGCAAGGAGGACCGGGCCTTGGATGGGGTCAGGCTAAGTCGATGACCTCAAACAGCCAGCCTGGGCTGGACTCGTGAAATCGTGAATTCACTGACCACCTCGGCTTGCTACTTCTTGAGGCGACAAATCCATGCCGTCAAAGTGACTGTTGGTCTTCCTGGTGGCCCTGACGGTGGGACTGTGTGTGAGGTACACCCAGACCACCCCTCCTCCCAGCGCAGGCAGGCGCAGAGTTGCAATCCTGCTGCAACATAGTGGATGAGGCCTTGCCAAGAGGCTTGAGGACTTTCTCTCTCTCTCTCTGATGAAGAGGATGCCTGTGGCCAAACTCTTGAGAATCTTCTGGGGACAGGAGGGTATTTAGAGTCCTGCCTGGGCAGAAGCCCAGTGGACAGGTGCTGGGAGAAGAGGTGAGCAGGGATGGGGCTTCCCCAGGGCAGGGAGGCCAAGCCGGGCTGAGTGGGCCACACCAGGATGGACCCCTGTATGCAGCCCTCAAATGCTGACACGTGGGTATGTCAGAAAACAAAAGTCCTGCTCATAGGGAGCTCACACTCTGCAGGAAGTCCAACGTATTAACAGTTGCTCCCAGAGCCAGTCTGGACTCCCTGTGCAGCCTGGGAGTCTTTCAGAGCTGGGCCTGGAGACAGCAGCTGTAGCCTCCCACCCTCCTAGCCCTCCACCAACTGACCCCTCACCTCCCGTTTCCCTCTGCCTCCAGGCTTTCTGTGCTGAGGGTCCCCACCTGAATGTCCCCTCTTCTCCTTCAACTTCCACCTGGCAGTCCTGGCAGAGAGCCCACGGGAGCCCATTCTGCCCCATCATGCTCATCATGCTCCACTCCAAGGCCCCTCCCACATCCAAGCCCACTCCTCCCCCAGTACCCACTCCCCCCCATGGGAGCCTGACCGCTGCCCTACGACTCTGAGGACAGCACCTCCTAATGTCTCTATCAGGACTGTGGTCACAGGTCTGCCCAGGCCAAGACAGCTGACCATGCAAAGAGTACACATGTGACCAGCCGAGTTGGGATTGACCCTCCAGGGCCTATACCCCCACAATGAGGAGCGTGGGTCCCTAAGGCCTTCATGTGGGATCTACGCTGACTATGAGCTGATGTGGACAGCAAGACTGTGGTCACAGGAGGAGGGAAGCACATTCACATATAAGCACACAGTATGGACACACACGAGCACACAGGAAACCCTACACTCTCAGGTAAGGGTCTCCTCGTCTCTCACACTCAGCCCCTGCTGGCACATTCCTGGGACGTAGGGGTGTAATGGGACTGGAGCTGAGTCTGCGTGCTGCACCCAGCTCTACTACTCCACTCTGGTCATCTCCCTGACCTGACATCTGAAAGAGGGGGTGACTGGTGCTGCAGAGGCTTGTGCCATGAGGGATGAGGACCACGTGGGGCTTTGGCACCCACATCCACCCAGCAGGGCACCAGCTGCGTCCGGGGGTCCCCCCAACCCCGTTTCCACCCTAAGCCATGTCCAGGCAGTAGGCTGGCAGTGTCGACAGGGAGAGAAAGGGGTGACACCAGCCCTCATGCCCATTCACTGGGATAGATTCTTTGGTCCCGAGGGGCCCTGGAAGACTCTGCTCCTGCCCTTTACTTGGCCCTACCTTGGAGTGGACCCCCCAGGTCCTGCACTCTGGGCCCATTTATGGAGAAAGCATCTAGGGTGTGCCAGGCCTGCCTCACCGTGCTGACCAGGGCACATGTAGCCACATCTTACCCTGACTGCTCTCCTCTGAGCCAAAGGGAACCCACAGATTTTGAGCCCCTATCTCATTTTTCAGATGGAGAAACTAAGGTCCAAAGAAGGGCAGCGAAGACTGGGTCATTCAGTGGCTAGCCAGGAGGACCCAAATCTCAGGCCCCTGCAGAGTCTGCTGTCCTTACCACCTGTGTCAGCCTACCTCAGCATAACCCGGGCCAAGAAGGGTCCACAGCCCCCGGCAGGCTGCTCTGGGGCAGGTGCTGCTCTCTGTCCCCAGTGATGCCAGCAAGTGGGTGTCTTCGTCCCTCCTCAAGAGGGGCCAAGCAAGCAGAGCCAGTGGTAGCCAGACTCCGACCCATGTTGCCAGACCAGCAACTTCCTCTGTACGACATCAGTGTACCCAGCGCACCCTGTGTGTTGAGCTCATTTGTGTCCTTGTATTTGTGTCTGAGAAAGTGTGTGTGTGTCCCAACTTCTGTGTAACACAGCAGGTGAGTATCGTGTAACCAGTGCTCTCCGGCAGCGTGTGCCCTGTGGGTGCCCCAAGTCTGCACACCCACGGGAGAATGTAAGGTTGACCCTAGGTCCTATCTCTTTCTCCTTTAAATGGCATATGTTAAGGTCAGTGAACAGACTGGGCTCGGAAACATCTCTACTCCTGAGACGGAGACGGCATGGCCTGCCGCCAGCTCGGGACTGGCCAAAGGTAAGGCATGTCCTCGCAGGGCAGCCCCTCCTGTGTCTGACCTGCAGCTGGAAACAGACACATTCCTCCCGGAAGCTCCTGCCACTCTTGCAGGGAGTCTGGGGGAGCCCCAGCTGACTCACCACTGACCTTTGACCTCACAGGTTAACCCTTCCTAAACCAGACCCTTGCCCCAGCCATGCTGTCTTAGATATGACAGCTGTATCCAAATGGAGCCCATGGTGCAGGCCTGTGTGTCTACGGATGTTTTTGCACAGGTCTTGGTGTCCTTCCTCTGGCTGTGCTGTACGTGAACACATACACTGTCCGTGCACGTGTGTGGTCAAGATGTCAGCATCCGTGCAAGCCCCTGTCCTGCGCCTGCGCTTTTGAGAATGTACCCTGTCGTATGTATCTGTTGCTGGCTTCGGGTGCTTGCCTGAGGACACGGACGTGTACACAAGGATGTACTTCCTCAGAGACGTGTCAGCTGTGCTCACACCTGTGTGGTCTGTCCCTGCATGCCTTCCCGTGCCTGGCATGTCTGGGCCTGCTCTCCCACCCTGACAGTCACCCTGGATGAGCTCAGGAAGACTAGGCTGAGGGAGCAGGCCCAAGGATGCACCTGAGGTCCAGAGACACACTGCTTTCCTCTGCATCTCCCAGCCTCACCTCGGGATCCCTCTCCCTGGGGCTGCACATCTGGTGCTCAATAAATGACTGGTGAACGAATGGATGAAAAGGGGCTCTAAGGGGCACAGTCTGGAGATGGGGGTAGGCAGGCCCTCCAGGATGGGAGCGAGGCTACTGGCAGGAGCGCCAGTCGTGGACTGGGTCGGAGAGCTCCAGAAGAGGCGGTCAAGGCTGGCCGAGCCCGGGTTGGGGGCAGCAGGGTCTGCGGGCCGCCCCCGCGCACTCCCCGATGTCTCGGGTCACCTTCTGCACCGCCAGGGCCTAGCTGCCCCGCAGGTTATTTATGACCCCCTCCCCCTCCCTGGTGGCGGTGGCGGCCATGGCGGCGGCAGGGGCTCAGGCCTCCGCCCAGCGGCAGAGGGCCCCCAGCGGGGGGACCTCGAGCAGCGAGGGGGCCGCCCCATGGCCACGAGGAAGGCAGGGGCGGGGCCTCTGAGGGCCGGAGGAGGGGTTTGGGCAGCCGCTCCCACCTGCGTTTCCCAAGGAAGGTGCCGCCAGGCCTGAACTCCAGGCGGGGGGAGGTTCTAGAGCCAAAATTCTGTCCTTCTGACCTCTGGCTCCAGTCAGAAGCGCAGAGCAGGTGCCAAACCAGGACACAGGTGGACAGGAGGAAGAAAGTGAGCAGATCCTTGTGGCAGGGGTAGAATGCCCAGGAGTAAGGATGCCTGATCCCTGTGGGAAAGTGGCTCTGATCCTGTGGGCAGAGAGGTCTACTTCCCATGAAGAGGGGGAAACAGGTAGGGGTGGGGGTAGGGGTGAACTGATCAGCCAAAGCCCTAGAAGGGGGTCTCCTGAAAGTCAGGGTGTGGCCCTTGGAGGAGAAGGGGTCCTGCAGGGAGCTTTGAACCCAGTCATGGTCATTTTAGGAAGCCCCTTGATCCTCCAGAGAGAGGTGGAACCAGATAGTAGCATGGAGGTTAGGCTGGGTGAGCTAGGTTAGTTTAGCCCCCTTACCTTGCCAGCTGGGTTCCACTTCCGAAAGCCAGAGTTGGGGCCTTCTTTGCCCCTCCTTCACCACTGTGGGCCTGTTCAGGATGAAAGAAGTCAGGGGTGAGTCAAGGGTGGTCCTGCAGAAGGGAAGGGAGGCCCCCTCCACAGGCTACATGGTACCTTCTCAGATCTAGAGATAAACTGCACTAGCCTTCCCTCCCCAAACCTCAGTTTAAAGGTCAGGGGTTAGGAGGCCTAAGGGTCAGTGAATAGGTGCAGGCAAACATGAGAAGAGCTGAGTGGAGGGGACCATCTCTTGAAAGCGGTGTCAGGGCTGTAGCCGGACAGTTGGCCTCACGCTGAGCCCTGATAACCTCTCCACACTGTGCCATGACCACAGCTTAGCATGATGGCTCCTCTGTGGGCCTTGGCTCTTGGGCAGGAACAGCCTCCTGCATCCATTAGACATGGAGGGAGCACACCTGAGAGCAAGACGCGGACCACAGAAGGTGAGTGTGCACCTAGGGTCAGGCATGTGCAGGTGTCCAGTTTGCACGGAGGGCAACTGGGCTGAGGGTGGCACACCATAGAGGACCACTCACTTTCACACCCACATTCACACCTGGCCCCTTAAATCCCAGCAGGCAGATGGACAAAGAGTAGAGCAGAAGGGGGATACAGAGGTTTGGGTGCATAGGTTCCCAGACACGTTCCTGGTCTCAGCCCAGACCTTGCTCCCCGAGTCAGTCTTGGGGCTGGCTGGTGCCTCGGTTGCAGATGATCTTGGCAGTGTGCATCAGCAAGGGAGAGCAGAGCAGGAGCCAGTGGTCAGGCTCATGCCCAGCTGGTGCAGGTGCCTGGGAGGAGGTGGGTGAGGGTGGGGTGCTCCCTCACTCCCATCACTCCCTTGCACAAGGTGCTCATGCAAGCACGCCTGTGGTCCAGCTCAACCCCCCAGAGCCCGGTCAGAGAGATGCCCACAAAAATGCCGTGCCAAATGCATCTCAGTGGGGGTCTAGGCGCTGGGATGGGATCTGAGGCTACTTTCTAGCTTGTTCAGAATAACACATCAGAGAAAGACAAACCTGTCTCATCAGCTATTAGTAGGTTTCTGTTTCTCTTCCTAATGCTTCTACTGCAAGGCTGCCATGCTGGCCTGCAGGGAGATGGGAGTTGAACACCAAGGGACAAGCCACCCTCATGCCAGGACTGGGCCAAGGCTGACCTGCTTCCTCAAGGCACCAAAGTGGACATGAGTGTAGAGGGTTCCTCTTCCCCAGACTGGCTCATACTAGGGAACAGAAATGTGCTCAAGTGTGCAATCTCGCACTCATCGGCCCCTCTTCCTCCCCACATCTTCCATCCCTCAACCAGACTGCATCTAGCCCACCTTCCTGCCCCACAGCATGGCTCAGATATTGTTTGTCCTGGAGTCAGAGAGCCTGGATTTAAAACAGCTGTATGACATCAGGAGAGTTACTTGACCTCTCTGTGTCTCACCCTCCTCATCTATAAAATGAGAATAATGAGGAAAACTCATATTGAGACGATCAAGTGAACTAAGGCATGTAAAGTGCAGAGTAGTAAGGTGGCGGTTATTGACAGCATCGTTGTCGTGTTGTTCACAGAACATGAAACCTCCCCAACATATTTGCAGAGGCCACACACCACAAACCCACAGCCTCACACCCTGCAGATGCAGAGGAGACCACCCACGCCCAACACTGATGCCCACCACCCACCGCCGCTGTGAAAACACTCCTACCCAGAACCGCCAGGCCAGCGGGCCGCTCCTAATCACAGGTCCCTCCTGCGCCAGGAGCCCACTCTCGGTCCTGGGCCCGCCCCCTCCCCAAGTGTAGTCCGGGGCTCCCAGCTGCGCCCCATGACTCCCTCAACGATGGCGCGGTCGGGGCGCGCAGCTTCTCGCTAGCGTACGCTCCTTCGCACACCCTCGCGCGCTTGGAAATAGGGCAGGGGCGCAGCCCTGTCCCACCGCCCCCGCCGCCAGCCGTGTGAGCCCAGTCGGCCGTCACGCACCCCCTGCTGGAGCCCGCGCCCGCCCGCCCGCCGGCCTAGCCGGGGCCGTTTAAATGGGCCAAGTTGTGGCGGCGGCAGCGGCGGGAGTCTCCCAAGTCCCTGCCGGGCGGGCGCGCCCCAGTGTACGCGGGTGCGCAGCCGGGGCGCCGGGGCGGCGAGGTGGGGCTGGGGCCTGGGACCCCCGGGCGGGGCGGGGCGCAGGGCCAGAGACTTCTGGACTCCACTGCCCGGCTGGGTCCTGCGGGCGGACCAGCGAGCGGGGCCGCCCCAGGGGGCGCGGGCGCAGGTGGCCCAGGGCCCTGTGGAGCCCTGGGGCCCCGGGGGTGCGGCGCTCGGCAGGTCGATAGGGGATCGAGAGGAGCTCCCGCAGCACCATGTCTCAGGCAGCCAAGGCCCCGGCAGCCGGCCGAGAAGCGGCCCGTGGTGGCCCGGCGGGCGGCGCGGCCGCAGGTGCCGGGGCGCAGTAGCGGGTAGGGCGGGCGCGCCGCCGGGAGACTCCCGGGCCCCCCGCCCTCGAGACCCAACGCCAGCCCAGGCCCGAGCAAGTGGCGCCGGCGGCGGAGAGCCAGGCTACAAGGCCACCGCCCGTCACGCCAGCGGTCAAGAAGGAGCTCCCAGGCCGCGAAGACCTGGCCCTGGCTCTGGCCACCTTCCATCCGACCCGGGCCGCACTGCCACTGCCGCCGCTCCCAGGCTACCCGACACCGCTGCCGGCCGCGGCCGCCCTGCCCCCGGCCGCCTCGCTGCCCGCCGCGACCGCTGGCTACGAGGCGCTGTGGGCTCCACCACTCCGCTCCCCGCGCGCCTACCTGAGCCTGCACAAGGCCGCCCCGCACCTCCACCTGCCCCGGGGCCCTCTGGCCCTGGAACGCGTCTCAGCCACTGCGGCCGCGGCCCCGATTTCCAGCCGCTGCTGGACAACGGCGAGCCGGGCATCGAGGTGGAGCGCGGCGCCCACCGCGCGCTGCTCTCCGTGCGCAAACTGCCAAGGCAGCAAGGGTCCGTCCATCCGCCACCGCGGCGAGTGGCTCACACCCAACGAGTTCCAGTTCGTCAGCGGCCGAGAGACGGCCAAGGACTGGAAGCGCAGCATCCGCCACAAAGGTGCGGCCGCGGCGGGGGCGCAGGCCGCTACGGTCCCTCCCCTCTGCTCCCCGAGGACCCCTGGGTCCGGACCCCCTCATTCTGCCACCCGGGAGACTCCATCTCCGCCCGGAGAGGGCGCTGCGACTCTGGGGCTGCCGCAGGGACACTCCCCCCCCCCCCCCCCCCGCCCCCAGCACGGTCGCCTTGTTGGACCCGAGCAGAGCGCCCTCGGCCTCCACCGCCACCTCAGCTTGAGCCGCGGTGCTCTGGGCTCCCGGCTACACACGAGCCGGCCCCTCCTCCCACTCGGAAGGTCTTTGCGGGATTCCTGGGCTGTGTGGCCCAGGGGAAGTTTAGGGGAACTCGGGAGACGGCGGGAGGCCGGCTGGGCGGGACCCCACTTCCCTCCCGGGTCGGGGAGCCACCAGGTTCCAGCGGGAGGAGAGGGGCCCATGGGCGGTCGGGGTGCGGGTGCGAGTTGCTGGAAGGCAAGGGAAGGTGTAGGGGTGTCGTGGGTAGGTGGGGGCCGCGGGGGCGCGCGTCGGGGCGGGGGCGCGCGCGGAGCTGGCACGGCGGCGGGGCTGGGAGCAGCCTGCTCAGAGCATTCAGGAGTCTGGCTCCGAGGGCGCGTTGCGAGGGCGCCGGAGCAGGCAAACGGGGGAAGCGCAGCGAGCGACAGGGGCGGGGGTGGGGGATCCTTAGAGAGTTGGGGACCCAGTCGCGCTGGCTTTGAGGCTCGCGGCTCTGCTGTGGCCGCCCTCCTCCCGCTGAGGTCTCAGAAACAGCCCTGGTCCAGGCGGCGCCGCTCACCCGCGCGCAGGCTCGACCTTCGTGAACCCTGTTCCCAGTTCCCCCGGAGCGGCTTGGAGAGAGGGTAGAGAGCGGGAGGAGGGACACAGGGGGCGGGGAGGAGGCCGCCCTTGGTCAGGGGCCGGCGCTTGCCGGGATCTTGAGTTTCTGAGCCCCGCAGATCCCCGCGGCGTCCGCGAGGGTGTGGTGGGCGGCAGGGCCAGGGAGCGGGTTCAGAAGTTGGATGTTCCTACACGTGCCAGGAGGGGGAACCGGCCGTGCAGCTTACTGCGCCCCGAAAGCGCGCCCGTGCGTGCCGGCTCTACCTGTGCCCCAGCCCTGCTCTCTCACCGGTCCTGCCTCGGCTCTCCTCACAGGAAAAAGTCCGAAGACGCTTATGTCCAAGGGGATTCTGCAGGTGCACCCTCCGATCTGCGACTGTCCGGGCTGTCGAATATCCTCCCCGGTGGTGAGATGGGGGAGAAAAGTTGGGGCTTTGGGTCTTCCTTCTCCCCTGTGGAGCTTGTGCCTGTTCTCTAGGACCCAGAGTCCTAACCTCAACCCTGCCAGTGTGCAGGAGTGAGCCCCCGCAGGGGCAAATAGGGGAGACTTCGCTTTGGGTGGGAATCCTGGGGCAGCCCTCCGCTCTTTGGATGCAGGACCTGACCATTCCCTATCTTGGAGCTGCTGCTTCTCAGGTCTTGGGGACAGCCTAGGCTGTAAAGGTCTCCTCCCTGGACAGTGCCATCCACCTGGGGCCTGGGACCCTGCCCTGTCACAGGTCTGGGGTGGGGGTGGGGGTGTCACTGTGTCAGCTGGCCTGGCTTGGGAGAGGGGCTGGTCCTAAGGTAACACTTGTTCTGGGATGTGGCACTGTTGGCTGGCCTGGATGTACATTCTGGGGTGGTCACAGCTTGGAGGTGAGTAACATGTGTCTCTGGGATGCCAAAAGCTAGAACCCTGCTGGGCAAGGCCCTGGATGTCCAGGAGAGTCTGAGGATACAACCCAGTTGGGGGCAGAATCTGAGCAGTGTGGGCCTTTGGTGTCAAGATCTGGAGGTGGAGGCTGATGTGGGACCCCCAACCCAGTGTAGACATGTATTGACGCCCTCTTTGGCCTAGGGGAGCAGCAGAGATTGGGGTGCTGGGCCTGCCCCTGAAGCACTGTCTTCCACATCCTATGTCCTCCAGGCAGCAATAGTTGGAGGACTGATCTGAAGAAGAAATTGCATCTTGAGAGGAACCAATTTTGAGCTGCTCGGGGAGAGCCGGTTAGGGCCCTGGCTGCTGGTGGTGGTTGGGATTGTGCTGTTATTGCTGGCGTCTGCAGCCCCCCACACAGGAAGGGGTGAGAGAGGACCCAGGACACCACCTTCAGCTTCTTTAGTTTGGACTGGAAGTAGGAAGGAGGAAGGGATGTTTTGGTTTCCTCATGAACCCTGGAGGCGGGTAACCTGAGCAGGCGGGGAAGCCACAAACACACCTGTGAATACAGACACCAGATCAGACACACAAGTTGGACAGGGGGACGGGGATACAGCCATGCCTCTCCTGTGTGCCCACCCCACACACCTGTCTGCCATGAGCTCATGGTCAGAGTATGTGCGCACAGGCAGCCCACCTCTTACCTGCTACTACGGTACCTGCCTGGGGCAAGAAGCTGAGCTCCCACTCCACTTAACGCACCTTTTCAAGCAGCTGGTACTGGGAGAAGAGTCTTCTGGGCACCCTCAAGGCTAGCCTGGGGTTTCTGTTCGGGTTGGAGGGTCCCAGCCTGTCTTAACCCACCCTTCCAGAGGTCTCTCACACCAGTGTGGGGTTCAGGTGGCCTGAGCCCAGTATCAATTTCCCCAGAACATTGCTTGGATTGGAGAGGGGTGGGGAGGTCTGGCAGGGATGAGGCCACGACCTCGAACTGCCTACCTGTCTGGGGCTCCCGGGTCCCTGTCCTGCATGAGGGATGCCTCAGACCTGGGCCTGCCTCTCCTGAACCTGGTCCCTCCCAGGCCCATCCCTGTACCCTTCCCTTAGGAAGGAGCTACACAGACCCCCTTGTCTTTCCAGCCCCGCTTTCGCCACATAGAGATGGTCTTCCTCCATCCCCCACAGCCAGGCCCGAAGGTACATACACACCTCACAGCCACAGATACCCCAGGGGCACAATGTGGGTGTGCATATTTGGTGCAGGGATCATGCAGACATGCAAGAAGGCTTTCCTGTTCCCCTCCTTGTGTTCTGAGGCGCCAATGGTTGACTAGCAACAGAGGTTTGTCACAGAGTTTTCAAATCTGTGCGCTGCTGAGCAGGGGTGAGTGGCTGAGGTCTTGGGTGTGCGTAGGAGGAAAGTATGCTCCCTGTCCTTGGTCGGGGTCAGGGCTGCCCATCCTGGTCCCTCTTCCTCAGCTCCCCTCCCACAGGAGCACCTCCAAGAGCCACCGCAGGCCAGCATAGCTGGTCTGGCCTCATCCCAAGTGGCGGTATTACTGCCCTCATTTTCCTCTCCTACTTGCCCTACAGATGAGAAGCAGAGGGAAATGCATTTCCTTTTCTTCTTAAGAGAATAGTTCAATTAAAGCAGAAAGACAGGAGAGGAGGTCCTGGTGCTTGGGCCACAGGCTAGAGAAGGACAGACCGGAGTGGGACTTCCCAGCAGTGCACACTTCAGACAGGCCAGCGGTTGTTGAAAACACTGCCCTTGGCGCCCAATAGCTGGACCAGACAGGCCCTCGCACCTGCGGCTCAACCACTCTCTGCTCTTGCTGTTAGAGCACAGGGCCAAGGCCAGGGTCTCAGAAGGGGCCACAAAGCAGGCCATTTCATCTCTCAGGCCAACCCTCAGACTCCCACCCAGCCCCAGTGCTGCCCAGGGTCTCTCACTGAGTATGTTGCAGAGAGGAATACGGAGGGTGTCCCAAGTGGATTCATAAGGGCAAGTATGGGGGAGACTGTGGCTCGCGGTGGGGGGCGTGGAGAGGGGGGCAACTGTGGTCCCCAGACCAAGCGAGGGGAGAAGACTAGGGCCCCCTGACCCTGTTGGGGCCACTGACCAAATCTGGAGCTGGGGTGGGCTGGGTCTGAAGGGAAGGTCCCTTATTCTGGAGGACAGGACGATGGTGGCTGCTTAGCAGTCCTGCAGGTCCAGGATGACACGGGTCCAGGGTGAGGCGAGACCCACCCCCACACTTTCCTCCTCAAGCTCGTGGGTATGATGGCATTGTCCTTGCAACAGGAAAGAGGATGTCCGAGGGCCCCCAGGTGACGGAAGAGATGAGAGAGAATTAGATAATCCCAAGGTCCCTGCCACCCCCCTGAAACAGCAACCCCTTATTAAATAAAAAAAGGGTACCTGCCCACCCGAAAATAATCAGTAACTTTTCTTCTTCCACTGGGGCAGCAGGACCTAAGGACACTGTAGGGAGCCTTGGTGTATAGTGACCTTGTATAGTGTGCTCTGAGCAGGGACAAGCTCGGTGTGGAGTACCCTCCATGTCTGTGCACAGGACATGCCTTCCTGCTCTGATCTCCCAGCACACAGCACACACATGAGCTCCACATCCTCACAACATGGGTGTAGGGAGGGGAGAAGGAGGTGTTGTGGAAGAAATGGAATCTCTGTTTCTGACCCAGAGGGTAGGCTCACGAGGGGCCCATGGGACAAAGGGTGTAGGTTGGCAAGGGCTCCCCATCAAGTGACCTGTGAACCCCAGGCCTGCAGTTTGCAAGGGGTCAGCAGGATCAGGCCCCAGACTCAGGCTCCAAACAACCCTGAACTGGACCCTGCGTGGCACTAGCAGAATAGAAGACAGGACTTGGCAGTGGCTGGGGGTTCATGCAGGAGCTTGTGGGACGGTCCAGCAGACACAAGCACACAGAGGTACCTGCACGTTGAACACGTGGCAGAATGCAGACATGCTGTGTTGTGCACACGTGGTCCCTGGGGCTCCCTGGGGCTGAGAAAGCTGGGGTCTGCCTCCGGGTGGGCACCCCCACACTCCGGCTAGAGTGCAGAGTCTGGACGAGGCAGTGTCACGAGGAGCCTGGCCAGGGCCTACAGCCCTTCACTGCACCCCGCTCCCCCGTAGCAGACCCGGGCCTCATCTTTCTGCTCTTGTCTTCAGCTCCAGCCACTGGGACCCATGTGGACCCTCGGGCCTGTCCTGTGGGCTAGAAGCCCTGTAGCGGGGCCAGGGATGGTGCCTATTTGATCTTAGCAGCTGCTCTGAGGGCTTCCGTCACCTGCACCCTGCCTGAGGCTTGGGCCTGGAGTGCACAGCTCCCAGGACCCTGAGTGTCCTGGCTCAGCCTAACCTTCCTCTCTTGCCTCCCTACCCAGAACCGGGGGCGGCTGGCAGACAAGAGGACAGTTGCCCTGCCCACTGCACGGGTCCTAAAGAAGGAGCTGACCCCCAGCTTCTCGTCCCGTGATGGTGACAGCGATGGGAGTGGCCCAGCCTGTGGGCGGCAACCAGGCTTGAAATAGGGGGACACCCCACATGTCCCTCTCATGAGGAGAAGGTACTTTTACTGGGGGCCAGGCTCGGGGGAGGCACACGGGCTCTGGTCGGGACATCAAGACTGGTGTCTCCAGGTAGCTGAAGGCCAGGCCAGGGCGAGGACCCTTTGCCCTGGGGACAGGGCCCAGGTTGAGCTTGTCATGTCTTGGTATCTGCCGAAGCTGAAACAGCCTGAACCCCTGACGCCACAAGACCATAGTGAGAACCTACCCTGCCCCCACTTGGAGGGAGGGGGTCGACGAGGTTCCATGTGGGGAAGGAAGGAGGCTCTAGGAAGGGCCGGGGGCTCTCGGAGGAGGGCAGTCAGGGAGACCCAGGAAGGGAGGGCCTGATACCACCACAGCCAGGCGGAGAGAAAGGAGCTGAGCAGCCCCCTTCCCGGAGCTGGCCCTGAAACTCTCATGCTCATTCTCCTTGGCAGGAGGCAGCTTTCCTGGCTACCCACTGTCCCTTCCAGGCTTGGGGCCACTCTTCCTGACTTCCCACCATCTCCTCTCCTGGCAGAGACACCTCCCACTGTCCACTCACCTCTTCATGCCTCCATCTATCTGTCGTCGGTCCATTCATTTGTCTGTCCATCCAGCACATGTTACTCACCCCCAGAGTTTCTAGGCCTTTTCTCTTCCCACCTAGTCTTTCAACGTGTTCCAACATCTCCTGCCCTAAAATAACCCTCCCAAACCCCCAACACCCCCACTTCCCAGCCCTCCTACCCTCGCTTGCTAAGGTGACACACCCACACAGGCTTCCAACCACCACCCCTCAGCCTGAGGGTCTTTCTGGGAACACTGCTATGAGTGAGGGGACAGGCAGAGGGCAGAGCTGTTTCCTTACTTGACCTCTCGTTTTGGCATCCCTCCTACCTACAAGTGTGGTGGTCGCTTTCAGGAGGCAGACTGGTAGCAGCTGGGACCCAGGAAGCTGCACCCACCTGGGCTGACTCTGGACCATAGGTGCTGGCAGCGGCCATGGGGCTTGCTCCCTGACCTGTTCCAGCCTGGCTGGAGCAGCTCTGGCAACTAGGAATTTGGTTCAGTTGCATGGCTGATCGCAGAAGAGGCTACAGCTCCCCTCCCCACCCCCGCCCTCAGCACAATGTGGCAGCTCTCCTGGGTTCGCTGCAACAAGAAGGACAGGTGTGGCAGCCTCATTTCTGTCCTTCCCAATTCCTTTGGTGAGACCAGGAGTCGGCTCCTGCCCCACGGTCCTATCCTGGTGGCAGCCACTGGCTGGTTGAGCTGGTACCAGATAGCACTGGAGACAAATCCGAGCCAACCCAGTTCCCTTGGGGCCAGCGCTCTGGGGAAGATGAGGGCTATGCCATACACACACCCTGCTGTTCAGGTACCAGATCCTGGAGGCCACTTTGACCCTCCGCTTCTTTCCTTGCAGAGTCTACACCCACTGGGACGTGAACATCTCCTTCCGAGAGACGTCCTGCAGGTAGGGTCTGGGCTTATCCCCACACATCGTGCGTGGGCAGGATGGAGCCTTGTTGCTCCATTTCCCGTGGGTCTGCTTCTAAATCTTTCCAGCCTCCCTCCCTTCCTCCCCTCCCTAGTCTGTGGTCTGTCGGTCGGTTTGTGCCCAGGCCCTAACAACAGCACAGGTGGGTTCTGGGCAGCCTAACCCTCCCACATGGGACTGACCATTTGAGTCAGTCTGCCCAAAGATGAGGCCATGACCTCCCCCTCCCACCCTCCCAAAGACCCACCCGGAGATGAGGATGGTGATGTGTGCCTGGGGTCTCATAGGATGCAGAGGCGTTCACTAGGGAAAGAGGATGTCTGCAAAGATGTGGAAGAGCAAGGGAAGGGGATGTGGGGCTGTGGGGGGCTGGCAGGTCTGGTCCAACTGAATGCTAAAGGACTTTGGATGCTGAGCCTGTAGGACACGGTGCTCCAGGCAGTGAGGAGCCACCCGAAGTTCTTGGGCAGAGGGGTGATAGAGTGTGTGTTTTGATGGGGTCCTTCTGGAGGCCCTGCCCAGGAGGTTGGAGGTTTGCTCCAGTCTGCAGTGGTTCAGGCTGTGGAAGCATGATGGAAGGCAGGGGGCGGCGAACCCAAGACATAGCAAGGAGATAAAAATGAGGGGACCTGATGAGGAAGTTGGGAGGGCACTGGGGAGACCCAAGTTCTAGATTCCAGATGAGCAAAGGATGGTCAGTCTGTGGATGGAGCCCAGGCTGTGGCTTCTGGTCAGTGGGGTCAAGTCCTACCACAGGGCTTCCAGGGAGGGTACAGGAAGGGCCCAGCCTAGGAGACAGTAGGCACCCAGCACAGGCCCAGCTTCCTCAGCCAAAGCTGAGGGGCCATCCCCCAAGGTGGGAGCCTGTCCTCCCCACTCCCAGCCTGGTTCTGTGCCATATGAATTATTATTTACGTCTCTGAAAATATCTGGGTCCTAGAGCCGAATTACAGTGAAAACATCTTTAAACTTATTTCTACCTCATTTTGAAGTTGCCTGCTCAACTGATCATTTTTATGAACCGTTATGAACATTGATGACATTTTATGAGCCTTTTGCTTGGGAAGCTACAGGATGAATTTGTCAGTGAAGCTTATAGCGAACCCAAGGGAGGTTCCTCCACTCCTGGAATGACTCCTCCTGCCTCCGGTAGCCCTTTCCTCACCCACCCCTGGCCTTGTAAAGTGAGAGAAGGTCCCAGGTGTCCAGACAGAGGGTGCCCCCGGTAAGGGGCCAAGTCCAAGTGCATGTGGGCTCCTTCAGTCCTGCACAGGCACTAGGGGTGTCTGGGACGATTTTCTGGATTTTACCAGAGAGGAGACTGCGGTTTTGGGGCAGGGGTGTAGCGTGCCGAGAGGACTTACAGGCTATCTGCCCCCACCTGCTGATGCGGCACCTCGGCTTCGGGCCAAGGAGGGCTGCAGGCAACCTGGCTTGTCTCTTCCTGGCTCCTTTTGACGCTGCCCCTCTGTCCTTCATCTCTAGTCTCCTGTCTGTTCTTTAGCCTCAGTCCATTCATCTCTATGCTATTCCCATCGTTTCTGTCTCTGCGTCCATCCATTCAGTAGTGCCTGTCTGTTCATCTGTCATCAACTCTCACTTTGTTTGTCCCTCTCTCTCCACCCATTGGCCTTCACCTGTCTGTCCATCCATCTGTCCATGGGTTCCATCCATTGGCCCACTTGCCTGCTTGGAGCTCCGAACCAATTTGGATATTCTGTTGCACTTCGGGACACGGACAGGAATAGTTTTGCAGTTTCTGTGTTGTGAACTGTCCCTCCTTTATCCACAGATCAGCCCCACCATGAACCTGAGTGGGCCCTGCCGCTGGGGGCGAGCCAGAGGCTGTGGGCGGTCCGTGCTGACAGCATGAGGAAGCTGGTGGAGCCGGGCCAGGCCCTCTCCTGTGGCCCCTCTCCCGGAGCACCTCCCAGAGGAACGCCTCCCCAGCCCTTCCCACACCTGCTGCTCACCAAGGTGAGCAGGGCCCCCCGTCCCGCCTGGAGGCTCCCCCTCACCTGCGGGCTGTGTGTCTCGGGCCTGGCACGTCCCCTCTCCGAACCTCAGGTGTCTCCTGGGGACCCTACATGCCACGAGGCCAGGCCCCACACACGGGGTTGCCGTTGGGCCTGTTGGGACTGCTCCCCGACCCTGTGGCAGGCCCACGGGGAGGGTGGCCTGGGGCTGAGGCGGTTCCTCTCCACGGTGAAGGAGCTCTCTGCCGCAAGCCTTGGTGTCCTGTGTCCCAGGCAAAGCCGCATTCCTGGCTGTGAGGAGGTTTCAGATTCCATCTGGGGCTCCCATCCTGGGTGGAGCCAGAGCAGGGATCCCTGGGGGCTGGCAGAGGGGCCCCAGAACCACTCAGACATCTGAAAGGTGCTGGCTGGGCTTCATCGACTCCACACATGGACAGGAAGCCCCTTCTAGATATTCTCCATAATTCAGGGAACAGGGCAGACAAATGTCCCTGCCCCGCGGGCCTCTTTCTAGGTGGGGGTCCGCCGCTAAGCCTAGACGACAAAGCAGAGATGGGCACACGACGTTCCGCGGGACGCCCTGCCGGCCTCCTCTACATACGGATCCCTCTGCTCTCATTGTCCGAAGGATGACGGGCCCTAGGACGAAGAAGAGCCCTTGTCTCCGAGGTGGTGAGGGAACGCCGGGGACCAGTCAGGTGCGGAGCCATGGGTCTCGCGCACATCCGCCGCAGGGCTCGGTCATGGTACAGGAGCTGTGGGCAGGTCGTCTGTGCACACCTGGCCATGACACACCTGGCTGGCCCTCTCGGTGGGGAGGCCTGCGTGCCTGGTGCACCTGTCCCCCACCTACCCCTGGAGGAGCAGCCACGTTCAAGCCTTTCCATGTCCGACCCTCAGGGACAGTTGGGAAGCTGGGGCAAGAGAGGCAGGGACTGGCCCAGGACAACTGAGGGGTGCAGAGTCCAAGGAGCTGCTCTCCAGTCCTAGGCCAGTCCCAACCCTCCCATGAGGTTTGCTTTGGGGGTGAGAGCCCCTCAGATCCTCGGGAAGAGCTACCCACCCCGTCCCATGTGGGGACATGACCTTGGCATCCCCAGGCACGTAGAGGCACGTGCACCTGCACACACAGGCCCCCCCCCACACACACCACTCTGACTGCCCAGCTGGGGGTCAGAAGGGGAGGACACCCTGGGAGCGAGTTGGGTGACAGTGGGGAAAGAAGAAAAAGGTTGCAGACAGCTGGGCCATGGGGCAGGGCATCTGGACTCCTGGCAAGAACCCAGATCCATAGCATGGGGAGGGGAGACAGGCCAGGCTGAGGGTCAGGGGTCCCCAAGGGGCCCAACGGGTTTGCCAGGGCACTGGGAGAGGACAGGGTCTGGGTTCCGGTGTCCATCACCAGCCTGGGCACTTGGAAGCAGGAAGAGATACCCACCCCCAAGTCCACAGGGGCTCCAGCACAAAGGCCCCAGCTTACTCTTCTGTCACTTGGGCTGTAGAGATGCAGTGTC